GAAGAGAAAAGGACAAGATAGACTGAAAGAGAGATGAAGAGAGAGCTATAGATGGAGCACAAACAGAGGCAATGAGGTGAAAAAAAAAAAAAACAGTGGCAGTAGGGGCAGGGCAAGAACTTAGGGAGGGGGGTGGCCAGGGTAGGGAGGCTCCTAGGGACCCCATCAGTGCCCTCTGTCCGGGCCCCAGGTCCAAGCCTCAAAACAGGAGCTCCACTATGCGTCCTTGCTGAGGCTGCCTGAACGGGAGGGACCTGACATCCGAGAAAGGGAAGGCAACAAGGAGGACCCCAGCGGGGACTATGCCTGCATTGCCAAGAACAAACCCACCTGAATACCTGCAGATGCCTCCCCCAACCCAGGGCCATCCTGTGGTTCACCCAGTAAAGACCATGGTCTCACCACCCTCTGTGTCTCAGGCTTCTTCATCTATTTCAAGCCCCAGCTCCACAGGGCCAAGATCAAAACCTAAATTACTGGGACTTCCCTTGCTGTCCAGTGCTTAAGGCTCTGGACACTTCCACTGCAGGGAGCACAAGTTCGATCCCTGGTCGGGGAACTAAGATCCCGCCTACTGAGTGGCCAAAAATAATAATAAAGTGGCCTTTCTTAAATACAAAAACAGACTCCTAAGCGATTTACCCTCCCACTCATTCTGGGGTCAGGTAGGGGGATTCACTGAGTGAGGAAGGGTGTTTGGGGATCCAAGCTCCCCTGAAGCTCAAAGAAGAGTATTTGCCTGTGGGCCATTGACAAGCAGGACTAGTCCTGTCAGATACTCCACTCTTCTCAAGACAAAGGGCCTTAGCCTCTTGGGCAGGAGAGAGAGGAGTGCTGAGTCCCAGGATGGTGGTGGGAGGGGGAAGGATTGCTAGGAAGCTCCCTCCTTCGACCCTTCCAGGCCAGATTTAGTAGCAGGAGGTAAGAGTTGGGAGAATCCAGAACGGGACACATTGGAGCATCTGGAGATGGAGCAAGAAATACACAAGACTCATAAGAAGGATGACGGTGTGGTAGAGAGGAATTTATTAGAGTCTCTTGAAGAACTTGGGATCACTGGGGTCTGGAATAACTCATCAGAGGCCATCCAAGGAGTGACAGGGTGTTTCCTTGTGACGGTGGTCTGGAGGAGAGGCCACAGGAATCGCTCAGTGCTGCAGCCCTCCTCCTCTTTCATGGTCTCTATCTCTGCCGGTTCCAGCCTTCTCACTTGCCCTCCCATCTCCACGCCCGTGTGTCCCAGCTCCAACACTCACATTTGCCCTGGTAATACATGCTGCTGCCCATAGCCACCGAGAGAAAGCTGAAGGCATAGAATCCAGCCCGAAGGAGGAGGACTGTGCCAGCCGCTAGCTGAGGAGGTCCTGCATGTAGGAGGCAGGGTGCAAGGAAGAAGAGAAGGGCTCAGGAGAGGAGGCCCTGGGTAGAAGTGTGCAGAGGCCAGGGAGGGCAGCAGGCCTCGGGGAGGGACTCTCCACTATCAGGGAGGGTGGGGCCTCCAGTCAAGGGGACAGGGCTTTCTGGCACCTCACCTTCCTCCACCACCAGCAGGGTCCCATTCCCTGTGCCGATACCCAGGCCCAGCACCTCCACCCTGCACACGTAGACTCCGGCGTCACGGCCTCGGGTGTCTCGGATGTGCAGCTCAGCCTGGTGGTCATAAAGGAAGCGGGAAGAGGGGAGAGGGGCCAGGCGGCCCTGGAACTCTGCAGTCTCATTCCTCACTTCCATCCCTGGGGCCACTTTGTCCCGGTACCATGTGACAGAACCAATGGCCATACTCCCTTGGCTGGCATTGAAGGAACAGGGCAGGATGGCGGGGGACCCCTCCTGGGTACGGATTTCAGGGGGCTGAGACACCCAGAGGACACAAGATCCTGGGGGCAGAGAGAAGACCCAGAGGAGCGCCTTCCCAGTTACTCCAGAGAGAAAAGACCTGAGAACTTGTGGTAGAATGTCCCTGCTATATCCCCACCCCCAGAGGGCCCCCAGGGACAAGCACTTTAGCTGTCTCATTAAACCCTTTATACCAATCTAGTTTCTTAACATTGCTTATTAAACAGTTTTTCAAATTCTTTCTCACACCAACTCTTACCCTCTCCCATCATTCTCTAGCTCTGTCCAATAGTATCATTTTGCTGAAATTTAACTTGTCACAATTAAAGTGAAGCTCATTAATGAGTGTGGCTGCCTAGTTAACTAATATCATTAATTATATTATGCCAGGTACTATTTTAGTACTAATAGCATTCTGCACCATACCATCTTACTGTTTTTTTTGTTAAAGATCATTAAGTAAATCTCCAGGTGAAGCCATGGCTATAATTGATGGGGATCCCTACCAAATTCATCTAAATCAATGAATTACATCAACTATTAAAATTCTTGATTAAATTCTCTAGTTAATGAAATTTACCACTCATTCTTCTGTTTCAGTGATTCTCAAGCTTGAGAGCTCACTGGAAACATCTGGAGTGTTTGTTAAACCAGATTCCCAGGCCCCACTCCCGGGATATTTTATTCCGTAGTTCAAAATATTTGAATTTGCCCTAGGTCTCTGCTGATGCTGAAGCTGTGGGTCTGGAATCCACACTGCATTTAGTTAATGAGTAGATTGGGTAATTAAAATCAGTTTCATTAAGAAACTTAACTTAAATTTAATTAAATTCCTAAACTCCTAATTATATCTAAACCCTAGATAATAAGCCTAGTTTAATAAGCTTATTAAACTCATCGAACTTAAACTGACCCCTTAAAAAAATCTGACCCCTTCCTTCAAGCCCTTTCTACTGCTTATTTAGACTTTATCTTGTTAGGAAGGTGGCTGGGAAGAAAAAGGCTTCCCTGGTGGGTCAGTTAAAAATCCACCTGCAATGTGGGAGACTCATGTTCAATCCTCAGGTCGGGAAGATCCCCTGAAGAAGGGAATGGCAACTCTCTCCAGTATTCTTGCCTGGAGAATCCCATGGACAGAGGAGCCTGGAGGGCTGCAGTCCATGGGGTCATGCAAAGAGTGGAACTCAGCTGAGTGACTAACTTTCACTGGGAAGAAAAGAGTTCTGGTATGGAAGCTGGGGAATGACCCACCCAGCGGCTGATACGGAGGGAACTGCAAACTGGAGGAGTCCACTGGGTTTCAGCTTTACAGAGGGACCCCCTGCTTTCAGCCCCCACCCAGTCTGCTCCCCTGGGACATCTATGTCCATCTTCCCCCATCCTCCCTCCTCCCAGCCCCTCAGGCTCCTGGGAGAAAGCCCTGTCACCTGGATGGATGGTGATAAAGATGAACAACAGCAACCGGGCCATGTCGGAGGGTGTTCCTGTTGATGAGGAGGGACGTGAGCAGTGAGGTCTGGGTGGAGGAAAATGACCCACTACTTGTGACCAGGCCTTTGGTCACTGGAGGGGGGTGGGGAGCTTCCTATGACACACAGGACTCACCCATCACTTACCAAGGACCTTAACTCCCTGGGACCTCGGGCATCAAACGCATCCCTCCCTGAGGAAAGAGGATGCTGCGGACGGTGATATCTGCATTGCTAGGAGGAGGGGGGTAGAGTGGGGGCCAGTTGCATAAGTGTTTGAGGGGAAGGGTGTGGCTTAGATGGCTGGTAATGCTTAGGTGGGTGGGTGGACGGGTGAGATCAGGATGTGGTTCCCCCATCTTCTGAGGTTCAAGAAAACTAACCCTTTACCAAGAATAAGCCTCCAAGAGCTTTTCTGAGCCCAGAGCTAACCCACTTCCCCTCCCCTTGGCTCAACAGCACCCAGGTCCACCCCATTCATTCCCTCCCCTCGAGTTAGGGCCCTATTAGGGCCCTCCGCCAGGGTTGCTCAAGAAATTCTGTAAATGAGAGGATTAGCAGAAGTCAGCTGACTGGTGCCGGCGGCAGCGAGTTACCAGGGGCTTTGTCTGGAAGCTGTATTTGCACAGCAATCACCCTGTTTTGGTGGTAGCTCAGATGGTAAAGAGACCCGGGTTTGATCTCTGGGTCAGGAAGATCCCCTGGGGAAGGAAATGGAAACCCACTCCAGTATTCTTGCTGGGAAAATCACATGGACAGAGGAGTCTGGTGGGCAACACTCCATGGGGTCGCAGAGAGTCAGACATGACTGAGCGACTAACACACACACCCTGTTTCACTGAGGCTGTGTTGACTTGGGTGCAGCTGATGGAGGTTTGGATTCATTCAGATTCAGATCTCCATTAAAGGAATACACCTCTCAAAGAGGTCCACTTGACCAAGTGTGTTCTCCACAGATTTAGGTAAATTCAGTCATCTTTATTATTTTATTCATTCATTAGCTAATATTTCTTGAGAAATTACAAGGTGCCCCCACTGTGGGAAATACATTTTCTACAGACACAAAGGAAAGGAGACACACTGTGGGACTTCCTTGGTGGTACGGTGGATAGGAATCGGCTTGTCGATGCAGGGGACAAGGGTTCAATCCCTGGTCCGGGAAGATTCCACCTGCTGCAGAGCAACTACTCTAGAGCCTCCTTGCTGCAACTACTGAACCCATGTGCTGCAGCGATTAAAGCCCACGTGCCTAGACCCTGTGCTTTACAATAAGAAAAGCCACTTCAATGAGAAGTCTGCACACCGCAACCAGAGTGGCCTTTGCCTCCACAAGTAGAGAACCCTCGCACAGCAACAAAGACCCACACAGCCAAGATTACTTAATTATCTTTAAAAAAGACACTTTGTGTTACACATGGATTAGTACAAGTGTGCCACACACTTTTGTATATGTATTACACACCTACATAAGATAACACAACACATAGAAAAGAAAGATGACATATACAAATGCTGGGTGAAATCTGCCCAGCCCTCACCACACATTTTCTCTGTGACTCCTTTTATAGTGGTCCATAGTCTTTCTGTCTGACCAAGTTTCTTGCTGTTTCACAACACACTCATGGATCATGCAGTTCTCCATCTTCCACAGCAGTGATCTGGAGCTTTTTTTTGGTTAAGAATGCTGACTTGGAGTCAGGCTGTATTCAAAACGCCAGGTCCCCTACAAACTAGCTACCTAATCTTGGACAAATTATTGAACCTCTCTGAACCACCTAGACAAACACGGGTACCTCACAGTCTGGGAAGGACTGACTCAGCCATTCAGTGAATGGAGTGGCAGCCTCTTCAGGGCCATCTAACCAAGGGTGCGGAAATGAGGTGACAGAGCAAGCAAGGCCTGCCCCCTGGTGGTCACAGAGCATGCAATACATGGCTTTTCACAACAGGGCCTTAATTGTAGCTTTTGCTCTGTTCCATACCTTGCCTTGTCCTGTCAATAACCCATCCTCACACCCAAAGGGTGAATGTGGAGTAAACTGTCTCTTCCACTCACCTGTGAGAATCCCATCGTTTGGGGAAGGAGGGAAGGTCACCACCAGTGGAGTGGGGATGAAGGGCTGGAATGCGCAACTGGCCTGAAGATAAAACTCTGTCATTCACAGACCCAATCACATGGCACTCAATCCATGTCTCAGGGCAATGAGGCTTAGAAGTCAAGGTAACGTAAACAGGAATCATGGTTCCACTACTTACACATCTGTAAAATGGGAGTAGCTTTTGTTGGTTTCCAGACCCCACTGTAGCGGAGGGTCATTGTATGTTATCTCCCTTTATCTCCCTCCCAGTCCTGGGCGAGAATGAGCAGTGGTACAGTTGGGCCTGAACTCAAAGGTTTTCTGCTCTTTCCACCTCTTTTTGCTACCTAAGATTTCCAATATCCCAAAATGTGGATTCTGAAGACAGTACTTGGCTTTTTTTAAAGGCCATCTAGAATAAATCCTGGTGTATGTGTGGATTCAAGGACCCTTTTCAATAACTCTGAGAGCCTCTAAAGAACTTTAACCTGTGCTAATTAGCTCAGCAAACTCAAGGATGGAATTTTTCTCTTTTTAATAATTTTACTTTTGGCTGTGCTGGGTCTTCGTTGCTTTCTGCAGGCTTTCTCTAGTTGCAGCAAGCAGTGGTTACACTTTGTTGCAGTGTGCAGGCTTCTCATTGTGGTGGCTTTTCTTGTTTCAGAGCACAGGTTCTAGGAGCACGGGCTTCAGTAGTTGCGGCTCGTGGGCCCTAGAATTGGGGCTCAGAAGTTGTCGTTAGTTACTCCACAGCATGTGGGATCTTCCCAGACCAGGAATCACACTTGTGTCTCCTCCATTGCAAAGCAGATTCTTATCCACTAAGGGAGTCTTTGAATGGAATTTTTCAAAAGAAACTTATACCAGCTACTCAAGAAGAAAGGCAAGAAGTATAAATAAAAAAGTTGTGGAATGGATGTACAGATATTTCTGGTTTGATAAATCTGACAGTGGTCTGCCTTGAGGGTGGTCAGGGCCAATAAACTCCCAACTTAGAACAGGGAAAGAGGTGAAAAAACAGAAGAGTTTCTGGAATCATAGCACAAGTGACCCCATCTCACCTAGTGTTTCCTCCTCTAAGTGTTGGCAAGGGTGCTGCTGCTGCTGCTGCTGCTGTGTCGCTTCAGTCATGTCCAACTCTTAGCGACCCCTTGGACTGCAGCCTCCCAGGCTCCTCCGTCCATGGGATTTTCCAGGCAAGAGTACTGGAATGGGATGCCATTCCTTCTCCTGGCAAGGGTGAGATGTGAGTAACTTCTCCAGTCAGTCAGTTCAGTTCAGTTCAGTCAGCTTGACTAGACGGACCTTTGTTGGCAAAGTAATGTCTCTGCTTTTTAATATGCTCTCTAGTTGGTCATAACTTTTCTTCCAAGGAGTAAGTAATTTTAATTTCATGGCTTCAGTCACCATCTGCAGTGATTCTGGAGCCCCCAAAAATAAAGTTGGCCACTGTTTCCACTGTTTCACCATCTATTTGGTATGAAGTGATGGGACTGGACGCTATGATCTTAGTTTTCTGAATGCTGAGCTTTAAGCCAACTTTTTCACTCTCCTCTTTCACTTTTGTCAAGAGGCTCTTTAGTTCTTCACTTTCTGCCATAAGGCTATTGTCATCTGCATATCTGAGGTTATTGATATTTCTCCTGCAATCTTGATTCCAGCTTGTGCTTCATCCAGCCCAGCGTTTCTCATGACATATTCTGCATATAAGTTAAATAAGCAGGGTGACAATCCACAGCCTTGATGTACTTACTCCTTTTCCTATTTGGAACCAGTCTGTTGTTCCATGTTGTTACAACTCCTCCAGTCAAGTCCTTATAAATATTTTTTGACTAATTAATGGCTCCCAGGTTATACTCTCAATCTCTGACCATGACTTCTCAGAGGTAGACCCCACCTTTGGCCTCTTTAAAAAAAAAAAAATTTTACTTGGCTGCACCAGGTATTAGTTGTGGCATATAGCATCTTCAGTTGTGGCTCATGGGATCTTTAGTTGAGGTATGTGGGATCTAGTTCCATGACCAGGGATCCTACCTGAGCCCCTGCATTGGGAGTACAGAGTCTTAGCCACTGGACCACCAGGGAAGTCTCTTGCCTCTCCTTGCTGTCATGGTCCAGCTCCCCCACATTAACCAAGAGCAGGCCTCTGGCTTTCCAGCTTTCTATTTCAACCTGTCATCTCTCTAGAAGACTTAATGTCCATGTATATGATATTTTTATATACAGATATAAATATATACAGTAAAGTTCAGTTCAGTTCAGTTGCTCAGTCTTGTCCTACTCTCTGCAACCCCATGTACTGCAGTACACCAGGCTTCCCGGTCCATCACCAACTCCTAGAGTTTGCTTTTTCACCTCTTTTCCTGTTCTAAGTTGGGAGTTTATTGGCCCTGACCACCCTCAAGGCAGACCACTGTCAGATTTATCAAACCAGAGATATCTGTACATCCATTCCACAACTTTTTCATTCCTACTTCTTGCCTTTCTTCTTCAGCAGCTGGTAA